GCAATCAGTACATTGAAACACTCCTACACTGATGAACCAGATGGTATTCCATCTAGCATGTTAAAACGTGGAGGTGATGATGTGTGTTTTGCTTCTCAAACTATTCGCGATATCACTCTCTTCAGCGTGTTACCCTACTGCCTGGAAAACTACACATATCATTCCCAAAATTAAAACAGGACCTGAAGCAAACGTTGAAGATTACCGGCCTATAAACATGACTTCAGTGGTATCCAGAGTGATGGAAAAAGTAGTTAAGGCGGCAGTAGTCCAACATCTACTAACTAATAATCTCATCTCGACCTCACAGCATGGATTTCTTAGGTCCAGATCATGCGATACATGCCTAGTAGACTACCTGAATGATATAACTCTGAAACGAGACAGCAGACTCCTTGTATCAGTCCTATTCCTAGACTTTAAGAAAGCCTTTGATAAGGTCCCACACAAAACGCTACTAGTCAAACTAAAGTCCTTCGGAATACACAACCCACTGTACTCATGGTTTGCTTCGTTCTTAACAGAACGTAAACAGATGGTAATGATTGTCTCTCGTCCCCTAGACCAATCACCAGTGGAGTCATCCAGGGGAGCGTATTAGGTTCATTTTTGTTTCTTATGTATATAAACGATATATGTAACACCATAGAATTTGGGAAACCGTACTTATATGCTGATGATCTCAAAATAGTATACAGCTATAAGCCTGAGACACTAAGCGAAAGTGTATCCCAGATCCAAAAGGACCTCAATAACTTAATTATCTGGAGTGAAAAATGGCAATTACCATTTAACCTCAACAAGTGCGGGATCATGCACTTTGGAAAGCATCCCTATAAACCGCGACTTCACTTAAATGAATGTAGAGTCCAAACACTTGAATCAGTACACGATTTAGGAATTAACTACACAGGAAGCCTGAACTTTGAAGAACATGCCTCCTCTATTATTTTTTAATCTAGACGGCTAATTGGTTTTATAATGAAAAACTTTTTCACAACAGAGGGTAAACTTACTCCCTACAAAATATGTGTACGACCCTCCCTTGAATACTGCTCTTTTGTCTTCTCTAATATGAATATCGCAGACAAGATAAGAGTAGAAGATGTTCAAAGATGTTTCACACGTCAACTACTAGGATGTAACTCGAATATCGATTACACAGACAGATGTAAGCATCTATCTTTAGAACCTTTATGGGACCGTAGGCTAAAAAACAATTTAATATTTCTGTACAAAGTGATATATGGGCTCTCCTTTCTAACCTCCTGCCCGACTATCACCCACAATCCAGCCTATAGACTTAGAATTTTTATTTTTATTTATTATTTTAACACATAGATATTGGTACAAGAAGGCACCAAATACATATGCGCCACACAAATCTTATTCGATATGTGCGAGGGCTGTGATACTGCCCGGGTGCCCAAACCGAAGCAGGATAGACTTAAAAACAACACATATACACTACTTACCGTAAAACACCAAACCAAATGCGTTGTAAGTTTTTTACAGTACGGTATAGTGTATTGTGGAACAGGCTGCCAATGCCTATCCGTAACTGTGATACGTTTACCAGATTCAAAAAGCTAATAACCCTATTTCTAGACTCCAAAGAGCTTCAACATTTCCTTGAACTCCTGCCCACCGATGAGGCACTTTATTACGGACCGCCTAGTATCTAGAAAGAACAAGATTATAACAAGTTCGACTGTTACTAATACGAATATAACCAAATCACAGAATATATGGCTCATCCTTTCCTATTATTCATTGTTTATTAATCATGGCCTTATGCTCCTAACCCTAGCTTTCAGTTCCCAAATCTCTACAGGTTAAATGTACATTATTCTTCCTAAAAGTCATGTTTTTTCTACTGCAAGTAGACAGATAGCTTAATCTTATGGATGCTGATCTACCAAGGCCGATCATACAAAGCTCAAAATTTGGCCACAAAGTCTTGTGAGTTTCTCAATGCTTTATTTGTTTTACCCTGAAATTTTTTTATACAATTTTATACCCTCTCATATCTTTTGATTTACTATTAGTCCTTACTTCTTTAAACCATTAGTTATTTTCATAGCAGTTGGATATACTATATGGACATCTAACCCATAAAAGACTTTTCAACTATCTGATTTGCTTGTAACATGGACCTAGTAGAGACAGTGTATTCCAACTATGGGCTTTGATTAAAGCAGTATTCATACTTACCACAAACGTAAGAGAGCCTAACATCACAAAAGGAGGGAGGGTGGCGTTACTGACCAGCAAACATGATGGTGGGGAGATAAATTCAATCCACCCATGTCTGTAGGGCAGAACATTTTGTTTAATTACGGCTCCTTATGGTTTAGTGAGATGTCACGAACTTATGGTATTGATGCTGATTTATGACGCAAAATACCCCATTAAATCGTGTTACGAACGTTGAATTGGTTTCACTTCCTACACAGTAATCCTATTACAAGCAAACTAGACAATTCGCGAATATACGAAGCCTACTCAAGACCCTATAACACCTGAAAAAATTTTAATAATAAAAAGAAAGGGGCTCTACTAGCTTCGATAAAAAAGAAAGACAGCCAATTGTATATCACAATACTGTTTCTAGCACTATATTTTATTTTCTAATCACACATAATTTCATACCCTCAGCTCCTTTCCGAATCGCCTACATTTGTCAGTTGTATGTCCACTCACACCTTGTTAACACTTAGTTTCTTTAACCTATTAAAATGCTCTTTTTTAACAAATACCTTAATAAAAGAAAATTAGACTGAGTAATCATACCTTAAACATTTCTTCATGAATATTGGCCTCTCGTCCTTTCTTTTACTTGCTCTCTTTTTCAGCCCCCTTGTGATATGAAACGAAAGATTTCATCCTGCACCATCCTCAAAGCCTAAGACATTCCAAAGGGACATAAGGTTGCGACATTTAGAAGCTCCCATCTTCATGGACCTATCCTTGACCATCAGTTGCACATTCGCAACGCAACTTTCATGAAGTGCGCCAACTGTAGTACTGATTAAAACCATTCACATTCATATCTTATAAATTATCAACCCAGCTATGTAATTTACTACAGTGGATATTGTATCATTTGTATCAATTTGATCTTGCCTGTAAACTGGCATGCCTCATGTAACAAACTGTTATTTGAGAATAAAATTATTATTAGAGAAAGAACCGGACCCAATTACAGAGTCAACAAACCAGCTGCTCACTGTGGACTTCGACCAAAACGATGTGCTTAAGGCTCTTAGCACCCTAAACATGGAGAAGTCAACAGGACCAGATGAACTACACCCTAAAATCTTGAGACATATTGCCGAATATATCGCAGCCCCACTGACTGTGATATTCAAAATGTCACTTGACCAAGGTGTGTTACCTATGGACTGGAAGGACGCAATCGTCACTCCCATACATAAAACTGGTCTACGACAAGTTCCATCAAATTACAGACCCGTAAGCCTCACCAGTGTTGTAATTAAAATACTGGAAAGGATAACCAAACGGACTATTACGGCATTTATGGAAACCAATAACTTGCTGAACATGGCACAACATGGTTTTAGAAAGGGTCTATCCTGTATAACGAACCTCCTTATAGCTAGGGAGTTCTGGATTAATGCGCTAGACAACGGAAACTCAGAGGATGTTGTCTACGTAGATTTCAGTAAGGCTTTTGACAAGGTGCCAACTAATAGACTGCTATTGAAGTTGGCAAACCTTGGTATTGCCGGACCTCTTTTAAAATGGATTAAGGATTTCCTAGTAGGTCGTAGGCAAAAAGTAAGAATAAATTCCAAGTGCTCCATCTTGAGACTAGTAATTAGTGGAGTACCCCAAGGTTCCGTCCTAGGTTCCTTACTTTTTATAATGTACGTTAATGATCTTACAAGTATAGTACAGTCTCCAATGTTATTATACGCTGACGATGTAAAAATTTGGCGAGTAATAACTGGAGACAAAGACGCATTTACTCTTCAGGTGGACTTAAATAATATGATAAACTGGTCTAAAAAGTGGCTGATGCCTGTCAACTCAGAATAGTGTGTCTACATGCACTTGGGGGATTCGAAGGTTAATACGTACAATATAGGAGATGTGTCATTACCCATAGTCCGGTGTGATAAGGACCTAGGAGTGACAGTGAGCAATGATCTTAAGACGACGGCCCATTGTCGGGAGGTCGCAGTTAAGGGGTTTCGAACCCTCTGGGCTTTAAGAAGGTCATTCACTATGTTTGATACTACCATGTTCACCACATTATACACATCCTTAGTGAGAACTAAGTCAGAAAACTGTGTTCAGGCTGCAAGCCCCTGTTTAAAAGGTGACTCAGACGTACTAGAAAAGGTACAGAGGGCAGCTGCGCGTGCAATTCCGGAACTCCGGGGTTTATCGTATGAAGAGCGGCTTGAAAAACTGAACCTCCTTACTCTGTCCTATCGCAGACTAAGGGGAGATCTAATATTGATGTACAAAATACTGAGAAATGATTTCGGACCTAACTTATTCTCTCTCTTTCTTCCCACTAGATCGGGACACCTCAGAGGACATAGCAGGCGAGTAGAAAAGCCAAGAACGAAGAAAATACCCCTGGCATACAGGTTTTCACACCGAGTCATCAATACTTGGAACCTGCTGCCTGAAGCAGTGGTGTCCGAACCTTCAATTGACTCTTTCAAGAGAAGACTGGACACTCACAGAAGCATACTAGAAAAGGAATAACATAGGCCGTAGGCCTTCTGTCCTTACTACACAAATCTGAATCTGAATAGAATATGGAGCATGTATGCAGTTACATTTATATCTGACCTCAGATCTCCAAATGATATGTTGTCAGGTCCTACTGCTTCCCCATTCTTGATTTTTCGATGTTCACCGTGATTTCTTCCGTCATTGATGGAGTGACACTTATAGGAATGTTTCTATATGGAAGTGTTTAAACTTGCTGTCTTTAAAATGTCATGGTAAAATGCTGTCTACAGATTTAAAATGTCAAGCCCACCAACTCCGAAAATTGAGATATTGGATGATGAGGAAAATATTGTTAACTTAGAAGGAGAAGAAGATACAAATGATAAGTATCTGTCAACTCTCAGTGCAAATGACGAAGATTTGAACAACTATGTGCAGTTATTCGATTTATATCCACAAATACTTCGCAAGTATAGTTTTCTTAAGTTTTTGTGAGTTAAAAGATGTTCTCGTGAATTCAAAAAGACATTTGGAGTAGTAAATGAAATAGAATACGAAAATGGAAATACATTCGAGGTTCGCTGTTGTATAATATTTTGGTTGTATTACTTATTTAATAGAATATATAAATAATAATGACAAGTATGTAGAGGCATTTTGCAAGAGAAACTTCTCACGTTTTCTCAAAAGTATCAGAAATTTTTGAAACTCTTAAGTCGTGTTGTGTAGATTTTGTCATAGTACGTCTTGGAGAAAGACCTTCCTCGACCGGGTTTAGTGTGGGAGTTGTAGTCCCAGGTATACCAAAATTACTTGTTGACCATTTCTCAAATTTCCTCAGAATTGATGGAATATCTTATAAAATGGGATAGTTGCTGGTATTTTAATTGATTACTTCGTTATTTCCGGATTGTCGAAGTTTGTGATACAACCTGTGTTACTGAAACGTGTCAGTGTTTACTTTTAGAATACTGTAATATACCGTAAATAAGTATCAATTGATGCCAATATACTTTGTTTTATCACAGTGATTAAAGAAAACTAGACAGAAAACAAATGATATGAAAGGATGAGAAGTACTAAGTGAAAGAAAGCTAAACATTTATGTAGAAATCGGAAATAAGTTTAACAGAATTACAGCCGTTAAGATAAATCATATCGCTCATCAGTTGTCATTTTTCAGAAGTAGGGATAGTAGATCAAACGATCTAAACTAGTCCTCCCAATTGATACTACTGTGAAGGTCTAATTACGCTTTGAATATATTTAGAAAAAATTTTGGTATTACGTATTCTTATGAAAAATATCAATAATTCATTATCCAATGCAAAAAGCAAAGCTCCGGCAGCAAACTATGTGACTCCAGTTTTATATTTCTCAGATGATCAGTCCTATATGAAAGAAAACGGTAAGATACATTAGTACGACACTCATGGTTTAGTGTACCGTATGCCAGTATTAAACCACCCCTTAACCTGCGATTAGATAACTAAAATGAGTTGAGACGTCCCATTTTGTTCTCAGAAGATAGACAAGAGAGATTTTTTATCGTTTCGGTCCCTCACTGTCGAACCCATTTGATCGTATTCACTTTATACTTGAAACAAGGACTCACTTCTTGAATCCCACATTTCAAATGCGACCTCACAAACACCGAGTATGATGCCTTAGACGTTTCTTCATATCAATGGCGAAATAACTTACGAATAATCCATTGAACCCTAAAACCTTTGGCAGTGGCAGCCTTGCACTTGCTTGCCGCTCTTATTTCACTGTTAATTATAACCTCTAGAATTTATAATCCTCATGTTCATAAGCACATTTTTACCCTCACCCATTGCCTCTTATCAACCAGAAATTCGCTTGTCGAATTTCTAACTTTGTAATAGATTCCCGAATTTACCAGTTTTACTCTAAGACCTAACTAAAAACTTTGTTTAAGACCTTACGTATATCTATGAAAATTACATTTATCTGAATCTTACTGTCTTTGGATGTATCCCACTCCTCTCTTGAAACGAGATTTGTCGAAAATCAAAGGCCTCTCCAAAATCATGTTCTCCTCTCTCTATAAAATTACTAGATTCCACATAATTTAGAAGAGCTGTTGAGTAGTCTTTTCCAGCAGTTTAACAAGTGAATTGACTAGATTATCGATCCGATAACTACTATCTAAGTATGTACTTCTCCCACCTTATTAGCCAAGCTGATTGCTGCTTCTTCTTAGTCTCTTGATAACGTAGACTGCTTCGGAGATATGTTACACAGTGTTGTAATTGGTTCTGAAATAATATCTTTCTAGGCTTCCATGATCGTAAAATGAGTATCATCAGGAGCACCAGACTTATCTGGTTTGAGACGGCAATGTAATCGTAGGACAATTTCCTTTTCAATAATCCATCCAAAAATTGCCATTATTGCAATTAATAGTTTATCTTTTACCGTCATGTGTAGAAAGCATTTTTCAATCAAATACTTTGGCGATGCTTCAGGCGGATCCCATCACTCCTTTGAGTTTTCTTTTCATATGCGACAGTAACATTTTTGAACTGTTTTCACAACCTCTGATCAATTGTTTTGCATACAAAATTCTAGCCTACAAACGCATTACATGTCCTTCTAGTCTTACGATAAGTATGTCTATACTGTTCAAAGCCTGTTGAGATAAACATGCTTTAATGCCTTCTCTACGTCTAAAATGTTTCTCGACGTTTTTAGTTATCTATAATGGATAGTTATAGTGTCTACATGGTATTAAGCATGGTAAAAATGCAGATGTAACAGTTAAATGTGCCTTTAAGTATATGCCATGTTTCTTCAATTAATGACCTAGTATTCACTGGCCAGTCCATTGCTACAGCGTACTTTACAAAATTCTTTAGTCAACATTGTGTTTATATACCTCAAATGAAATTGTGGAAAAATATAAAGAATGACAAAAAATGTTTACAAATTAGTCTCATCTCAACTATTTCCGCACAATCTTTATGTGACTCAGTAATTTGTTGTACTGTTAGTTACTAAATTTAAAACTGCTGTCGTTTTAAACTTTACCCACGCATATAGTTATTCGATAATCTACATCAACAATATCCTATCTCAACGTATTCAAATCAGTCTACTGGCTAGATAAGTAGATCATATATAATTCAGTGTAATTTATGTAGTTTTTGGATCAATTATGAAATTGATGGTTGCGTCTGTTGTGGGTATATTTTATATTACCAACAAATCTTCATATACAGCACTTCCATCTCCCTAATATCGATTCTTATCTGCGTTTGTTATTTTATACAGTGTCAGGTTATTGGTTGTTTCCACAGGATATAAAAAGTAGCCATATCGGAATTTTATGAAGTTGCACAATTATTACCAAATTAAAAACATGCCATCGAACAATAATAAAAGTTTTTAGGTGATATGGCCAAAACTGGTCCGCGTGAATGACATAAAAACACTTTCCATTTGTTTTTATGTGTTTGACGTTAAATTATTCGGTATTGTTCTATTTTTTAGTTTCGTTTGTTCGTAGTCTATTCTTTTTTCTTATGTCAGAAATCTCACTTTTTTTATTATTACTGTCTTTACTCTTCTGCTTCTCCATAGTTGGCATATTTTCTTCCTGAGTTAACACCAACTAAAACTAATACACAGTTCAGTTAAATTCTATGTTGTTTCTATCTTCACATGTATTTGATTGAAGAAACATTTACACAACTGCTTGTGCTTAAGACGTCTTTACAATTGATTGGTCACTGTGTAGTGTCTAATTTCATGTATGTAAAGTCTTTCTTAGTGTATATTACATCCTATCAATCAAGCTGCAATGTGGCTACTAGTCAAGGCAACTGGATATCGAGTGCTTGAGGCTATTTAATTATTGACCGATGGTCATAACTCTCATAATACATTGGTTTGTTTACTAGAGCTTCAAAATAAATATTAACGTTCTTCTGTTGTTTTTAAAAAACATATCCACGTAAAACTAAGGTAGTTAATCCTAAAATGAACGGTAATAAATACCTTCCAGTTTATTCATGGAAAACTTACTCAGTTAACTCGTAAACAAGACTAAACTCACGAAGCCTTGTGAGAAAGTAAACACCAAAGATAACTCTCGCAAACCTTCTTAAAAGCGCTATCTTGATCTGTGGATCATTTGATTAGTATTAACCATTTTATCTGTTATCTAGATGTTTATACTTCACGTAAAAATGCGAAACCAAATTGTTACAAATTCCCTAAATTTTCCTTCATATAAAAAAGGGAAAAATCGTCAATGATATGCTACATGGTCACGGTGAATTTCACTGGGATGAAACAGGATTGATGTATATTGGCGACTTTAAAGAAAATAAAATTACTGGGCGTGGAAAAATTACTTGGCCGAATAAAAGGTTTTCTTATAGAAAAATAACTATGCTTTACTAAATATCTAGTGAATATATTGGTGATGTTGTTGATGGGATCCGACATGGATTTGGCACATACACTGACTCCAATGGTCTCCAATATACTGGTCAGTGGAAGAACGGAAAGAAACAAGGAAAAGTAAGTACATTTCCATATATATAATAACATTAAAGAATTTGTCCAGAATTATCCGATTTCAAAGAACAATCTTGAGTAAACTGCAATACTTTTATCTATTAAGCGAAATTTCAAGTTACAAAACCGATAATCTGCTATTTATTCTCGCCTTAACTGGATAATAATTACGTTTTATGAAGTAACTAGAGATTTTATTTGGAAAAGATTAACAACGGAACACCAAACAAACTTTAATAAATATACACCATCTTAGTAAATATCACTGCTATTAAATATCTGTAAAATGCCTCATTTACACGAAATTTCAGTTCACTAGTGAAAAAAATAGTATAAATAAAGCGTCAAAGCATATAGTTATTTGTTTAATACTAAAGTTACTGACCATTGTATTTAGGCTTTTGTTGAAAGCCAGAATCTCTGCAAAACTATTCAAACCTTGTTAGCGCAACAATTAAAGAGCTTCATGAAAACCTCGATGAATTTTCAGTTGGTTTAGAATTTAGCTAATCTCATATTGATGCGGCTATATAAAATAAGATTATAAGTTAACCAATTACTTTTAAGTCTCTAGCAACTCTCTCATTCTTTACAATTTCATAGATAACTACTCCGATTTCCTCTCGAATTTACGAGTTAATTGATGTATGAATGTAATGTTACCGCTATAAAGGTGCTAACTCTCAAACTAACACTTGTGTTTTGAACAGGACAACACTTGCGCTAGCAATAATAAAACGTTCAACACTGCCAATTAACCACTAGACTTAAGGTGTCACAACAAATATGGTTTTTCTGAATAGAAAAAACAATGTAACTAGGTGATGCTTAATATGAAACCCTATAATACATCGTTTAATTAACATTTTAATGCAAAATTAAATACCCGGCTAAACATTTTATTGCCCTATAGTCCATAAAAACGCTTAACTTCAAATTTCAGGGTCGTTTAAACTACACGACTGATGGTTCTATTCACTATGACGGTGAATGGGACTCTGGACTACGTCATGGTTACGGAGTGTATCACTACTCTAAACGGGCAACTTATGAGGGTCAGTGGAAAGATGGTAAACGTCATGGAGAAGGAACAATGCACTGGAGTGATCGTGATGAAATTTATACTGGAAGTTGGGTTGATGGAAAACAAGTAAATATAAGTTTTGAACTACAAGAAATATAGACATTTTTCTACATTTGAACTAAAGAAAATTCAATTGGGTTGTCAAATTACTATGCTATTAATCTGCCAATAGAGCAAAAAATACGATTTTGATATGAAATATTTATAGAATGTATACACCTATTTTTTAAACTTTGTAGGTTTATAGTGAAAAAGCCTGTTTAAATAAATTAAATTGACTTAGATAGTTTGACCTTCATATCTTAAGCTAGATAGCAAGTTACTCAAAGGAACTCGACTATAAAATTAAAACCAATAGTTTGATAAAAAACTGAGCGTCAAGAAGTTAAAACAAGTTTTCTGAACGAAATGTTGGAATTATTTAAATTTCAATATTTGAGATTATTTCAAATATAATTATCACAGATATTGTTTACGATAAAATTAATTTGTCCAAGTAAGACAGTGTTAAGAATAAAGAGCAGTGAATTAGAATAATATAACATTTGTAAAAGAAAGAATTTACATCATTAACTTCGAAATAAAAAGTCACTAGAAAACAGAGGAACTTTTGTTTTTGCACAACCGTATTTTATCTATATAAATAGATAACACTTTCTACTTAGGTGGAGTTTTGTTCTCTGAGCTGGATTACTTACTTACTTACTTACTTACTTACGCCTGTTACTCCCAAAAGAGCATAGGCCGCTGACCAGCATTCTCCAACTCACTCTGTCCTAGGCCTTCTTTTCTAGTTCCATCAAATTCTTGTTCATTTTTCTCATGTCTATCTCCATTTCCCGGCGTAATGTGTTCTTTGGTCTTCCTCTTCTTTGGCCTTGAGGATTCCATGTGAGGGCTTGCCTTGTGACACAGTTAGGTGCTTTCCTCAATGTATGTCATATCCACTTCTAGCGCTTCTTGCTGATTTATTCATCTACTGGAATCTAGTTTGTTCTTTCCAACAGTACGTTGTTGCTAATAGTGTCCGGCCAACGGATCCGAAGTATTTTGCGTAGACAACTGTTAGTAAACACCTATATCTTCTGAATGATGGCTTTCGTAGTTCTCCAGGTTTCCGCCTCAGTAGACAGTAGAACTGTCTTGACATTTGTGTTGAAAACCATGACTTTGGTGTTAGTTGACAGTTGTTTTGAGTTCCAGATGTTCCTCAGTTGTAAATATGCTGCTCTTGCTTTGCCGATCCGCGACTTCACATCTGCATCAGATCCACCCTGTTCAGCAATGATGCTGTCAAATATGTAAAGGTTTCTACATCTTTCAAATCTTCTCCATCAATTGTGATTGGATTGGTGCATGTTGTGTTGTATTGGAGAATCTTGCATTTCCCTTTGTGTATATTGAGACCTACTGCTGCTGAGGCTGCTGCCACACTGTTCGTCTTCTCCTGCATTTGTTGTTGCGTTTGGGATAGAAGGGCCAGATCATCTGCGAAGTCTAGATCGTCCAGCTGCATCGTAGATCCCCACTGTATCCCATGCTTCCCTTCAGATGTTGACGTCTTCATGATCCAGTTGATCATCAGGAGAACGAGAAAGGGTGAGAGTAAGCAACCTTGCCTGACACCAGTCTTTACTTCGAACGACTTTGTCAACTGTCCTCCATGCACAATTTTGCAGTGTAATCCATCATATGAGTTCTGTATGATATTGACTATCTTCTGAGGCACGCCGTAGTGTCGAAGAAGTTTCCATAGTGTTGTTCTGTCCACGCTATCAAATGCTTTCTCATAGTCAATGAAGTTGATGTAGAGTTATCAATTCCATTCAATTGATTGTTCCACAATGATCCGTAGAGTTGCGATTCGCTCTTTACACGATCTATCCTTACGGAATCCTGCTTGTTGGTCACGAAGTTGGGCGTCTACGCAGTTCTTCATCATGTTCAACGATACCCTGTTGAAGACTTTACCCGGTATTGAGAGAAGAGTGATGCCCCTGTAGTTATTACACTTGCTGAGATCGCCTTTCTTCGGTATTTTGATCAGAAGTCCTTCTTTCCAAGCTGTTGGTACTTGTTCCTCATCCCAAATCTTATTGAAGAGAATGTGGAGTATCCTTACAGTTATAAGCAAAGATGGATAGTGGCTGGCAGTGGAATCCAGGACGCGCGTTTCATCCTGTTTAGGACTCGTCAGCTGGATGTACCTGCATCTCAGAGTTGATGTTCACTCTGGGACTCGAACTCAGTACCGTTCGCTTCAAACGCCATCGCGTTATCCACTTAGCTATCGAGTCCTGATAGCTACTTGCTTGTGCAATGAGTTGAAGTTTAATTCACTTGTTATTGTTTACTTGAATCTTCCCATTGATGTTTTTGGACTGAAATTGATCAGTCTCTTATTGGCATATGTGCATACTGTGCGTATGCCTCGTTATTGCCTTAATTTACAAGCATTATAAGCAAAGATGGATAGTGGCTAGCAGTGGAATCCAGGACGCGCGTTTCGTCAACTCTGAGATGCAGGTACATCCAGCTGACAAGTCCCAAACAGGACGAAACGCGCGTCCTGGATTCCACTGCTAGCCACTATCCATCTTTGCTTATGATGCTTGTAAATTAAGGCAATAACGAGACATACGCACAGTATGCACATATGCCAATAAGAGACTGATCAATTTCAGTCCAAAAACATCAATGGGAAGATTCAAGTAAAACAATATCAAGTGAATTATCCTTACAGTTGCCGCTACGTCTGCTTTTAGTGCCTCTGCTGGAATGTTGTCCGGTCCTGCTGCTTTGCCACTCTTGATTTGTCTGATGGCCATGCTGATTTCTTCAATTGTTGGTGGGCCAACATTGATTGGGAGGTCCGTGGGTGCTGCTTCGATGTTGGGTGGGTTCAGTGGAGCAGGTTGATTCAAGAGTTCTTTGAAGTGTTCTACCCACCTGTTTCGTTGCTCTTCAATGTTGGTGATTACCTCGCCTTCCTTGCTTTTCACTGGTCGTTCTGGTTTGCGGCGATTTCCAGAGAGTTTCTTTGTCGTGTCATACAATTGTCTCATGTTTCCTTCTCTTGCAGCCTTTTCCGCCGTCGTTGCTAAATCTTCCACATATTTACGATTGTCGGTTCTGATGCTCCTCTTCACTTGTTTGTTTACTTCTGTGTATTCAGTTTATGATTTGGCTTTCTCTGTTCTTGTTCGGCTGGTATTAATTGCTGCTTTCTTGCTTCTCCTTTCTTGAATCTTATCCAGTGTATCAACAGTGATCCATTCCTTGTGATGGCGCTTCTTGTGGCCATGAACCTCATGGCATGTTGAAGTGATTGCCTCTTTGATCCCCTTCCAGTTGCTCTCCATAGTAGTTCCTTCTCCATTGAGTAGATCATGAAAGGCCTGGAACTTGTTGCTGAGGACTATCTTGAATTTGTTGAGTTTGTCAGTATCCTGAAGAAAAGCCGTATTGAACTTTTGTGATATTGTCTGCCCCGTTGTGCAGTGCTTCTTGAGTTTCAATTTCATCTTGGCGACCAGTAAGTGATGATCTGATGCTATATCAGCTCCTCTCTTGGTTCTCACGTCCTCTATAGTCCTCTTGAACGTTTTGTTGATGCAAATATGGTCGATTTGATTTTGTGTAGAGTGATCCGGTGAAGTCCATGTGGTTTTGTGTATGCGTTTATGTGGGAATACGGTGCCGCCTATGACCAGCTTATTGAAGGCACATAGGTTTGCAAATCTCTCACCATTTTCGTTCCGTTCTCCCAGTCCGTGTCGTCCCATGATGTCTTTATATCCAGTGTTGTCCGTTCCAACCTTGGCGTTGAAATCTCCCATCAGAATGGTCAGGTCCTTTGTTGGGCACTTCTCGATGATTGACTGCAGCCTATTGTAGAATTGATCTTTAGAGTCTTCATTGTAGTCGTTGGTAGGCGCATAGCATTGAATTATGTTCATTGAAATGCCCTCTTTGTTTGTTTTGAACGAGGCTTTGATAATCCTTGGTTCATGAGATTCCCATCCTATAAGTGCATTTTGCGCTTGTTTGGACTGCATCAATGCAACTCCTTGTGTATGTGGTGCATTTTCTTCTTCATGGTTGGAATATAACAGGAGCTCTCTTGTAGTTAGTCGCTGTTGTCCAACTTGTGTCCAATGTGTTTCACTGATCCCAAGTATCTCTAGGTTGTATCTTCTCATTTCTGCAGCAATTTGGAAGGCTCTCCCGGTGTCCCACATTGTACGAACATTCCATGTACCTAAATAAATGGTCGCTCTGGTTGTCAGAAGGGGCATCGGCCTCGTAATTTCCGAAGGAATTCGGCTTTCATCATGAGGCGTCATAGTTCTTCTAAATGAAGACCTTCTGACTCCCAGGGCAGAGTTTAAGTGGTTTGAATAATTTTTTCTGGTTAGCGTTTTATTAGCGAGTTAGTTTCCTACGGGATGAGGACGCCAACCCCATGCCCAACCCTCCTCCTTTATCCGGGCTTGGGACCGGCAGTAGCCCCCGGAGGGACTCCAGGCGGAGTTGGTTTGGTCAATCTATTTTGTCATATGGCTCGTCAAATATCACGTGACAAAACCATCAATCAGAATACAGACTTTTATGACTTCTTCCCTGTGCCGAACAAATAATTCGTTAACCTGTACAAGCAGCCTTTAGTCAACTCAGATTCTTTATTAGTTCTATGTATAGTAGCTTCTTACCTAACCCAGCGCGTTGAGTCCAAAACAGAAATATCAGCCTCCACTACATAAATCATGTGCTTCAGACATTCGCACTTTATATATAAGCAAACCAGACTGCATCTTACCTTAAAACGAAAGGTAATTATCATACAGGATTAAGCTAAAATTGGCTGTGTGGCAAACTGTAACGAATAGATTGTGAATAAATTGAGAACAGTAAATCGTATGACAGTAGTTAATGGGTCAAATGAAGACTTATGATAAAATGAATATAAATATATATGATCTACGTACTTAGTAATTATACGATAAGAATATATATATTTAAAACAGTCTACAAATAATTCCTGAAAGTTACCATACATTTATTCCTAACTCGCACATAACACAACAAGCACATTGGGATTGGTTCAATCTATCAATCAATAAGGAAAATTATGGGCAAATATAGGATCAAGAACCAAATCAAAGGGAGATACGACCAAAATAAAGAAGTAAACAATGACAGACTGAAGCTCAACAATGACCGATCAAGATCGAGGTCTACAGGACAAAATGTGGTTTAAATGTGGAGAAATTCGAACATTTCACTTCTATTTGAAGTTTGTGCTGATGATGTCGTTCAGAATAACGATGAAAGTTTCACTAATTAACCATCCAGTTTAGAGAACGAAACCCCAACTAAGTCATCCACCGGAGCTTCGAATTTCCACCATTTCAACACCTTTTATTACGCCACCATTTTGTTGGTAACGATACTCACAGATTAAAGAGAAATTTTTCTGTGCTTAAAGTTCTACGTAACAGTATATGCAATTAGCAAATAATGATAGAGGTATATGAGATTAGTGAGATGAGTAGTTGAAGATCATTTTTATCAGACAGTCACGTTATCATATCACGCAGATTATTCGTCTCAGTTCTTGGATTCAAAGTAGTGTACACCTGTGATCAAACAAAACATTGTATTTGAGAAATTCAGGCCTTGTGATAACTATACTTTCAAAATCCAGTCTGTTTTTTAAATGATGCAGTCATCACTCAATCTTATCAACGGATGCCATCCTTATTTCTGACTTTGTTGATTTTAAAGATCATACATTCCTAATAAAATCCCGTAAAATCTGTTTCAAAGACAGTCACTAACGTACATGTAGCTGTTAGTTATCTAAGTGTTTTGTTAATATTATTATCAATTTTAGGTTAGGTTCTGTCATTGTTATGTTCTGACAAGAATAATGAATGGTAACTTTTGGAATCCATTTGTGGATCAGTACTAAACGCATATTTCTATTGTATAATTATTGAGTAGCTAAACTATGCATTTTCATATTCCTCTTATTATAAGATTTATTTTGACCCATAATCTATTATTATACGTTTTACCATTCTTAAGTTATACCCAGTATATTAATTACTACCTCCCTCATTCACAGCCACATCTGGCTAATTCTTGTACAAATGTTGTTTCATATTTCATTGGTACGTTGTGGTCTGTTTGATTGGTATATAAACCTAGTATGTTTGAAATATAATGATTCATATCACAGAGGCTCGGATTAGTTTTCTGGACTTAACTGGCTGGGCTAGACAGGAAGCGGGACCAATAAGGACTCTAGAATGCTCGTACGGATTTTATGCGTCATTGGTTGGATCGATATGTCACTGCTCTCTAATTGGCGGTATCTTTAAGCTATACATTAGCAGGGCACACCGGTCACAAGTTATAACAGTCATCCAGTGGCCTCGGATAATAGCCTTATTATTATGAATGACTAACTGAAGTTAACGATTTCAAATAACTGGTTTCATAGTACCGAGTTCACTGAAATGCTAAGAGTTGCTCATTTACACTTTTAACAGAGTTATGAATAATAAAAGAGCATAAAATCTAAACCAAAACGAAATGTACTGTGCTTCTTGAATTTAAGAACCTCGGGTCAATATCTTACCGAATCTCTAAAGTTATTAGCATTTTAAAATAAACTACTGAAGAATCCAATGCCACTCTAGTACTTTAAGCCTTATTAAATATTGTGAACTGATAATTAAGTGGAATATTCTGAAATTTTGTTGACAAACCGAATATCAAGTGACGTTCGCTATCTCTACATTTTTAGGATGGACTAGGTTGTCATGCGTGGCATATTCTTCGTGTTCGAACATCACAATATTCTTTGCCCAATGTATACGATGGTCAATGGGCAAATGGTAAACGTAATGGACTTGGAACATTTCATTATCCTAATGGGTCTAAATATGTCGGTTATTGGAAAGATGATCTGAAACATGGGAAAGTAAGTTTAGAAATGATAATTTTAAGTGTCAAATGACAAGTTTTTCCAGTTTCATTTTCTTTTTTTTACAGGAAATTCAATTTTCAACTGATGTATTGCCCTCAACTAGAATAAATAAATCATTAGTTTAAAACTAAAATAATATGGTTCAATATGTCATGTGCATTTCGGATTTAGTTCACAAAATAATAGAGATCATTAGTTGCCTACTAGTAAGAAATGGTTTAAAAATTTTTACCATTAATATCAATACGATATTTTTCGAAAATTCCTCCTAATATTATGTCGAGACTCAACTCTCGAAAGCAATCAGATTTATAGACATTGAACTACTGATCCGTCACCTTACCCTATATGTTTCCACAAATGATTGTTTGCAAAACCTCTGTTTTATCCTAATTCAGTATTCTGTCTACATTTTTGTGAGCCGCCTGTTTGATTTATTTTACTCCCTATGTTGCTCAGAAGTTTTAGCTAATTAAATTAATACTCTAATATGCTAAATCATATGTTACATTACAAACGATACATTCGTAAGTGGAACTGAATTAAGTAAATTTTTGTCAACAAGTAATTTTCTTTATGAAATTGGAATAATTAAAAACGTACTGCAACTAACCTATTTCCAGTATAGTCATCAGAAATAAAAGGATATTGATGTTTAGGAGTTGCTTACAGTTTAAATATCAATTATAAACATTTTTGGATATATATTAATTCTGTAAGTTTGTTTTCTTCATATTTACCGTCTTCTAAAGGGTACATTGATACTTAAAGATGGACGAATATTCGAAAGAACATTTTATGAAGATCGTTTAATCGATGAAAACTCCGATTCATTACCCTCAAGTATTGATCAACTAAGTTTAGAGAGATTAGATACACGTATACCACTTGTCACAGGTAAGTTTTGCATGTTATCAAATAATATAAGCCAACGTTTTTTACTACAGATTTTTGAGCTACTAGTAAGTAGTAGTATAGAGAATAACAACAGTTTGGCATTTTTCGAATAGGTGAAATTCTATGTGCGTAATGATGAAAGCAAAAAATTTAGGCTAATTTTTATTAAACTAATAGATAATAACAGACTGTATTAATTCTTTTTATCCAAAACATTAAATCTCTATCAAAAACATTTGAACCGAATTATCACACTATATAACATCATTAGTCTGTACAGTCAGTATATGATAAATAAACAAACATCAGTCATTAAAGGGCGGCCTGCTTGAGCATCTGGGTTACCTGTTCCTGCCATTTAGATATTTCAACAAGTTATAGATTTTTGTTTGTTTTAATATATCATTATGTTTATTATTCGCATAACCTATCCTGCTGCGTTTCTGAAAAGTGTACAACCTTTCGTTGTCAAAGTTACAAAAAATTCAATAAGAGACAATGTGGTTGCTGGCAATATACAACGAAAAGAATGTACATTATTCAGATGTTCATTCACTGAAGTGCTAACATCTAACTGGCGATCACTCAATATATATCGCCGGGACCGACCAAGAAGAAAGAAACGGAAACTTCTTGAAATACTTTGCGCTGAGAATTCTATACTGTACCAAAAATATGATATTGAATAAAGCAGATAATAATAATAATAATAATAATAATAATAATAATAATAATAATAATAATAATAATAATAACCATGTTTTCCCTTGAATTGGTAACTGGTCGAGGCACACCTCAATGTATGAAAAGACACTGATACCTCTCAAGTGTTAAGTAACATTCATTCAACGTGGATATCTATAAATAATGGTTCTGAATAGGTTTGATGACATCAGATGAGGTTTTGTGTATAGGTTGAACTAAATAGGCTGACAACTCCTGAACCTTTCTATTAAAGGAGATGTGTTGATATACTTTCGTGCTTTCTAAAAAAATAGATTATAATTAAACTGTAATGAGAACTTATAAATAATTGAGATAACTTTGTGAAGTTATCCGGAATCTTCAACGCTATACGCGAGAACTGCAGTCAGTGCTTAACAATTTCCATATGAATAGTTATAAACATTCAAGAAACGCTTTACAGGTAGATAAAATCAAAATTATGGCCCTCCGATTGTTCAAAGTTTGAACTTAAACGCAACCCTTCCGGATGAATTAAGCATTCACATTCTAGCTGAACAGTATAAATTACTATCTATATCAAAACTATAAGCGATAGCCATACCGAACCTCAGTTCAAGTGCTTTTGATTGTTTCGCTTAGTGCTGATAAATATTTTTCTGAGTTACCTACATTATCTAAACTGTAATTTTATATTTTACAACAAATAGATCATTGTATCATCTTTCTTCTCGATATTCCAGTTGTCATAAAGTTTATCTATGCTTACTCTTTGAAGTCACAGAAACCCTTATTCTATTGATCAGTGTTTATTTTTTTAATTTACCCACCAAGTTGTAGAAATAAGTACACATTTAATTATATTTGCCTTCTTTAAAGAGCAGAACTTTGTGATATCATGTTGTCTATTTACACTTTCCATGATAAAACTATCAACATAGTAAAGTAGCAACTAAATATCGGGTGTTTTATCATAACGATTTTGTAACCATATTTTCATGTTTCTTTCAGAATGTTTATCCGATGCCACTGAGAAAAATAGTGTACTCAAAGATACATCAGACAGTAATTTGTTGGAAAATTATCTGAAACCTCATATATCACCGTCAGATTACACTCATTCAGAATTACAGAATGTAGGTTTTTCTCCAATTTTATTCACATTGTTCTTTATTTATAATTTAAATAAATTACTTTGATTTATCACGAATCAATCATATCTGTTACAATCTCCACTGATTTGTTATGTACAAAGTTTCTGTATTAATGGATCCAGGAAAAGATGACGATAAAGTTTCTCTCATCACACAAATAAAAAAATACTTGATCACAGCATTATTCAATGGATAGGTTTATGTAATATTATTCTTTGAACCTATTTACAATCGATGTGTGATTATTTATTCCATTTGAAAGCTACTACTTAAAAAGCCGTGATTACCACCTCACATAGTATGGTATTAAAGATATGCAGATCTTGTAATAAATACAATACTTTTATCCAATGAGTCAGAAATGAACTCATAACATTTTCAACCACAATAGCTTAGACGTATCATCTTCATCCAGAAACTTTTCAGTTTTTGATTTAATCTCATATAGCGTCACAGATATAAACTGTTACAAAATCCTGAACCTATAGTTTTGACGGGTATCAATTCATGGTGAGAATTAGTCCTAACTAATTAGTCAATAACTAAAATATTTACAATAAAATTAGATAAATGGTATCTTGTATGATTTAATGACTTAAGCAATCGTAATTTTAAATCACAAAAATTATGTAGCTTTACTTTACTTACTTACGTCTGTTACTCCCAACAGAGCATAGGCCGCCGGCCAGCATTCTCCAGCCCACTCTGTCCTAGTCCTTCCTTTCTAGTTCGATCCAGTTGTTGTTCATTCTTCTCATGTCTGTCTCCATTTCTCGGCGTAATGTGTTCTTCGGTCTTCGTCTCCTTCTCCATTGGCCTTGAGGATTCCATATGAGGGCTTGCCTTGTGACACAGTTAGGTGCTTTCCTCGATGTATGTCTTATCCACTTCCAGCGCTTCTTGCCGATTTATTCATCTACTGGAATCTAGTTTGTTCTCTCCAACAGTACGTTGTTGCTAATAGTGTCCGGCCAACGGATCCGAAGTATTTTGCGTAGACAACTATTAATAAACACTTGTATCTTTTGGATGATACACTGGTCGTCTTCCCCTGCATTTGTTGTAGCGTCTGCGACAGAAGAGCCAGATCATCTGCGAAGTCTAGATCGTCCAGTGCTTTCCTCCAGATGTTGACGTCTCCATGATCCATTCGATCGCCAGGAGAAACAGAAAGGGTGAGAGTAAGCAACCTTGCCTGACAACGGTCTTCACTTCGAACGACTTTGTCAACTGTCCTCCATGCACAATTTTGCAATGTAATCCATCATATGAATTCTGTGTAATATTGACTATCTTCTGAGGCACTCCGTAGTGTCGAAGAAGTTTCCATAGTGTTGTTCTGTCCACGCTATCAAATACTTTTTCGTAGTCAATGAAGTTGATGTAGAGTTATCAATTCCATTCAATTGATTGTTCCACAATGATCTGTAGAGTTGCGATTCGCTCTTTACACGATCTATCCTTACGGAATCCTGCCTGTTGGTCACGAAGTTGGGCGTCTACGCAGTCCTTCATCCTGTTTAACAAAACCCTGTTGAAGACTTTACCCGGTATTGAGAAAAGAGTGATGCCCCTGTAGTTATTACACTTGCTGAGATCGCCTTTCTTCGGTATTTTGATCAGAAGTCCTTCTTTCCAGTCTGTTGGTACTTGTTCCTCATCCCAAATCTTATTGAAGAGAATGCGGAGTATCCTTGCAGTTGCCGCCACGTCTGCTTTTAGTGCCTCTGCTGGAATGTTGTCCGGTCCTGCTGCTTTGCCACTCTTGATTTGTCTGATGGCCATGCTGATTTCTTCAATTGTTGGTGGGCCAACATTGATTGGGAGGTCCGTGGGTGCTGCTTCGGTGTTGGGTGGGTTCAGTGGAGCTGGTCGATTCAAGAGTTCTTTGAAGTGTTCTACCCACCTGTTTCGTTGCTCTTCAATGTTGGTGATTACCTCGCCTTCCTTGCTTTTCACTGGTCGTTCTGGTTTGCGACGATTTCCAGAGAGTTTCTTTGTCGTGTCATACAATTGTCTCATGTTTCCTTCTCTTGCAGCCTTTTCCACCGTCGTTGCTAAATCTTCCACATATTTACGATTGTCGGTTCTGATGCTCCTCTTCACTTGTTTGTTTACTTCTGTGTATTCAGTTTATGATTTGGCTTTCTCTGTTCTTGTTCGGCTGGTATTGATTGCTGCTTTCTTGTTTCTCCTTTCTTGAATCTTATCCAGTGTATCAACAGTGATCCATTCCTTGTGATGGCGCTTCTTGTGGCCATGAACCTCATGGCATGTTGAAGTGATTGCCTCTTTGATCACCTTCCAGTTGCTCTCCACAGTAGTTCCTTCTTCATTGAGTAGATCATGAAAGGCCTGGAACTTGTTGCTGAGGACTATCTTGAATTTGTTGAGTTTGTCAGTATCCTGAAGAAAAGCCGTATTGAACTTTTGTGATATTGTCCGCCTCGTTGTGCAGTGCTTCTTGAGTTTCAATTTCATCTTGGCGACCAGCAAGTGATGATCTGATGCTATATCAGCTCCTCTCTTGGTTCTCACGTCTTTCATCGTCCTCCTGAACGTTTTGTTGATGCAAATATGATCGATTTGGTTTTGCGTGGTGTGGTCCGGTGAAGTCCATGTGGTTTTGTGTATGCGTTTATGTGGGAATATGGTGCCGCCTATGACCAGCTTATTGAGGCACATAGGTTTGCAAATCTATCACCATTTTCGTTCCTTTCTCCCAGTCCATGTCGTCCCATGATGTCTTCATATCCAGTGTTGTCCGTTCCAACCTTGGCGTTGAAATCTCCCATCAGAATGGTCAGGTCCTTTGTTGGGCACTTCTCGACGATTGATTGCAGCCTATTGTAGAATTGGTCTTTAGAGTCTTCATTGTAGTCGTTGGTAGGCGCATAGCATTGGATGATGTTCATTGAAATGCCCTCTTTGTTTGTTTTGAACGAGGCTTTGATAATCCTTGGTCCATGAGATTCCCATCCTATAAGTGCATTTTGTGCTTGTTTGGACGAGGCGTCATAACTCTTCTAAATGAAGACCTTCTGCTTCCCAGGTCAGAGTTTAAATGAACAGTTTTTTCTGGTTGGCCTTTTTTTTAGCGAGTTATTTTTTACAGGATGGAGCCGCTAACCCCATGTCGGACCCTCCCCCGTAATCCGGACTTGGGATTGGCAGTGAACTCAGAGGGGCTCCAGGCGGAGTTAAAATTATATAGCGCTGGCAGATAATAATTTTTAGCTGATAAGCTACAAAGTACTTACATAATACACATACCTAGCGTTCAATCGTCCATTTTTATCTTTCGGTGTATTCTGCCATTTGAACTATCTTCTCGTCTGGTCTCTAAGTGTTCTGCTAAATCTGTGCTTTCGATGCACTGAAACTCTTTAATGTATCTGACATCTGTTGCAACTCCGAAGCCACGTTCCGCTACACACTTTTACAAGCATCCACTACACTCAATAATTTAATATTTACTAGTTATGGACTCATTCTTAAACCATTTAACTTAGTGTTTTCATCTTTTCAAATTGGTTTTTCCCCTAAAACTTCATCTTTATTTGATTTGTTTAGATGCAAAATGTAATAACTGCTTATTTGACTCCATTACGCAGTATTTATAGATTTTATGGTAAACTTGGTATGAAACAGTTACCAGATAATACAATTATACTACGTTATGTTCAGTTCTGTCAATTTTTAAAAGATTGCAAACTGCATCAACATACAAGTTTAGCTGCCTTAGATAGAATAATTGGTAGGTATTTTTACTACAATAATTCTGAAAATTTAAATTTCAAATTTTCCTATCTAAGGGAAATGCAAACCAACCCAAAGGAAAAATGAACAGTAAATAGTTTGCACAGGGATAGACTATAATTTATAGACAAACCAATCAAATCCAAAATAGCAGGTATTGAATTTTGGGACGAAATTCATTCATCTATAAAGCTAAATAGAATTTCAGCATTATAGCTGATGTCAGTTCGTGATGAAAACCCTAACTCTAATTCCTAACCCTACAGTTCAACTGTAAATTCTTGTCCCAAGTTATGACACTAATTTACAAATTTCCTTTAACCCTAGTAAGTACGTGGACATCTATATATATATCCCTTAAGAAATTAAGCCTATTGTTACTTTGATGGTTCTTTAGCCAGTCACGTGCATTCACCATCCGGTAATTTCTGATTGGCTATTCGTATAACCGAACATAGTGGTTTTTACAGAATCGATCGATGACCAACTAATACGGACTCGTCGGTAGTTGTTGAAAAGTCACTCATCACAGCAAAGAGTGATAAATGCATTTACCCATAGCTGATATTTTATATCAAATGAGAAATTTAATCTCATACACATAGTTCCTTTTATCATTTTGAAAAGAGTAAGCATCTTTGTTCTTGCTCTTTTAAAAATTTAATCAGCTAATGAAATCTGTTTTCACTCTTTTGTTACTCATTCAATAAGACCTTCCATAATTAGAGAAAGAAAAAATTTTAAAACTAAAATAATTTTCAATCATTCGAAATTTACAGTACAGTCTACAGAATAAAAATAGGCTTGATCGAGACTCTTAAATTCAAACCTTACCATTACCAACTTTAACTAAACTCCCTATTTACTCATAACACTCGTAATTCACAGTTATGAAGTTCAGAACACAATGGTGATATAGAGACATCTCTTCGACTTTCTTGGATTACGCCTCACAAACACAAATCGAACACTAGATATCTAATATAGTTATTCTCCACTCTCTAAAGTTAAACAAGATCTGACTTGTCAAGTCAGTTCGTTTGCTTTGATAAGTTTATTAGAAAATCATAGGGAACTTTTTCTGTATCTTATTTTAGTTTAGGACAATATGATTATCACAGTGATACATGAAGAGTTCCAGTGTATTTCATTATCATATCAATTTTAAAACTTAGTAGGTTTTAATGAAATTACCAAATAATTTCGTTAATTATGTTTATCATCCATGAAAGAAACATTTGACTATGTGAATCACCATTCAGCAGTTAACAATAGTGTCTACCAAGTTACAGTATATTCTCATAAAGGAAATCTCGATAACTTAGAATACACTTATCAACTGATTCAAATGATTTGAAAATAAATCTCATAGTAAGCTATAAAGTAAGCGATTTTTTATTGAGAACTGTGTCCATAAAACTATTAAAATGCAACTGAATAAAAAACAAATACTGTCAATGGTTACTTAAAGAAAAAATCATGCAGGAAACAGGGTACTCTCGTTTTGAGAATACTAATTATTGTAGTTTATAAAGTGTTCTTTCAGAGTATTTCGGATTTGTACATCTTTATGTTTCTTCAAATTTTATCTGTGAGTAGAATTTTTATTTGTAGAAAACCACGAACATAATATTGATGATTGTTTAAATGGGTTTATTTTTCTCTTTAAATTACAAGCTGTATCATATGGATCTGAAGATGGTGATGATAGTTGTATTCAAAATCCTGAAAAATTAATCTCTTTTGGTACATTTGTAAATATTCTTGTGATATTAGCTTGTAACTTGTATACTCAAGAAGAATCTTATGTGCATGAAAAAATAACTAAGAGGTAAGTATTAGTTGCCTAGCAAATAATATTGTCTATATATTAATATTGTACATAATTCAAATTCATTTTCATCCTTTGATATTATTAAAAAAATTGGTGTTTAAAACAATTAGTCCCATCAAATTCACTTGGTGTTCTTTTACTTGTATTTTCTGATTGTTATTTAGGACTACGATTAGTCAGTCTCATGTTGGCATATGTACATCCTGTGCGGATTGCCTCGATATAGCCTTAAGTCACAAGCTTTTCAAGCAAGGATGGATAGTGGCTAACATTGGAATCCAGGACTCACGTTTCGTCCTATCCGGGACTCGTCAGCTGGATGTGGCTCTTAGGACTCGGTAGCTAAGTGGAGGACGCGATGGCGTTTGAAGCAAACGGTACTGGGTTCATGTCCCGAAGTGAATTTCAAGTCTGAGTTGCAGGCAAATCCAGCCGAAAAGTCCCAAATAGGATGAAACGCGCGTTCTGGATTCCAATGTTAGCCACTATCCATCTTTGCCTAATTAGTCCCTTTGATAAGTTTCGATAATGCAATGATTAGACGAAGTTGATCAGAATTGTGATATATTTGCGCAATACATTTCGAACAATCTGATCACACATATACTTGTTAAGACATTTTTGTATGAAAAATAAAAGACCAACTAGACAGATTAAAGGTAAGCGGTAACAAACAAAAATATAGTACACGAGAAAAGTGCGATTACCACTTTGGATAATAAATCAGTATTACCAGGGTAGGTTAAGTGTAAGAACAAATTTTTTTTGAACACATAAAGGGGGTTTCAGTTTCCGTATGGCCAAGGCTTCATTAAATCTTACTATACGTCTTTGAAGGCTTTTGTACAGCACTACAAATACTGACTTGATGTCAACCCTATGATCAGTCTCAATCAAATGTTTCGAAATGGATGATGATATCTGTCTATCCTGTGATCTTATTTGACCATTAAAATTCATATATCACATAATTCTGACAAACTCCCTCTTCTCATTACTTTATCAAAATTGGCGTTTACTTGGCAATGAGACGATGACAAAGAAATATCTGAAATATAATGTTAATAGTCAAGTGACACTTTTCAGATAAAACATAAAAATGATTGCCATGGAAGCAGGAGTATATATTTGATGAGTCAATGGTATCATTGTTTCACAAATATTAGCAAAAAAGACCCCATATCATTTCATGGTAGAGGCAATATGGTGATCAATGACTATATCTATTGGAGTGCAAACAACATATGAAACGGATTTTTTTCAATTTTCTGTGACACGTAGTTACATTCTCAGAAAGAGTAATAATGTACCTTATTAGTTAGTTATATTTGTTAGTGACAGATGCTTAGTTGTATGATATCGTCAATATGTGTTCACACAGTAAGTTATTCGTTAATTCATGTTAAACACCAAGCAGTTCAATCTATACAAACCTGATTGTAAATATATCATATAAAAAGTAGCGTGATCATACATCATTTAGATTTCTTTTAAGGATTTTTAGGATTCGGGGTCCCAGTACAAAACACAAAACAGTTAAGCATTCAGCAAACTTAACAGTGACAGACATAACGGATATATTATTTCGAATAGTAGTTAATAGTGGGAACCAAGAAACACGTTTCACCAGTAAGATATACAGCAATAAATTCTATCAAATAAAGAAGTTGGAATCTAAATTAAGAAGTCATTGATCGAATAAAGGAGTTGTGACTAAATAACCAGTATAAGCTATGATTTCAAGTTGAATTAAATTCGACTTCGAATTATATCAACACTATTGCGTTGACGATAAACGGAGAAGTTAGAAATAGTTGACTTGTGCATACTACTTATGCTAACAAATATAATTAGCATGTAACACCAATCAGGGGTGGAATACCTGGCAGCAGAAGATTGAGAAGATCGAATTGAAAAAGACGGGAATGTAAGCAAGGAGTATCAATAATAGCAACAGAAATTAAAGAACGATTGATTTTGTAAGAGGCAGCTGATGGAAGATGTGCAAATGAAGTATTTAATGTATGGTTTTCATATTTTACGAATACAAACAACAATTTGGCCCATATATATATAACCACCATTTAACTATGATTCAGTAGTCTAAAAACATTTTCACTAAGACCTAAAGGTCATAATTTCGATACCTCTTGTGGACATGGTAAGACACTCACGAGAAACATACAATACTAAAACAAAATATCTTTTTAGTCCTCCCTTCTTTTCATTTGTTGATTCTTGATAAAACTAACTTCAGAAATTCAAAGGATTAAAAAGTGCTTTCCTTTAAATTATAAATCAAGTAATTAACTCAAAATATTTCATTTCAGAAGGGGTTTTGTGGAGATTGTAGTAATTTCAAATCCTGGAAGCACTGGATGGCCGTTTCATCCTATCGTGAGACACCTCAGCAGTGCGCATCCACGACCCTGCCTCACGGGATTCTAACCCAGGACCTACCAGTCTCATGCCAGGCGCTTACCCTCCACAAAACCCCTTCTGATACTAATCAGCATATGCTCAGTAGTGACTGGCTTCAAGATATATATCCTGGAGTTCTAGTGACAAGTAGTGACAGTGGGTTCAACCAGGTCAGTTGTGTGGTAGTAATTCACTGATGACAATGGTGGATGTGTCGCTGAATTTCGTGGATTAGTTGAAGTTAGACATTAACACCGTTGGATGCCAGCTCAGTGGTCCAGTTGGCTAAGGGCCTGGCGCCAAACTGATAGGTATTGGGTTCGAATCTCGCGAGGCGGGGTCGTGAATACACACTGCTGAGGAGTCCTACAACAAGACGAAACGGACGTCCAGTCGTTCTAAGTATTCCATAGTGATCTAACTTCAGTTGACTCATGATCTCAACTGTTTATATTTCATTTCATCAACAATCTTGATTTGTTTTATGATCATTTTATTTATTATTTTTTAGCAAGCCAAATGATGCATTACTTTGTTTACTAACACAAGCAATTATTTCAAATGCATGTAAACTTTCTGGTGTAATTTATCAAGATAATGAAAAATCTAAAGAAATTCATGTATTTCTACAACCACTTTATCAAGCCTATAAGTTTTTAGTACGAATTAAAAGAAAAGTAAGGAAAATATGTTTAGAATTATTATTGGAAAAGATAAATTTGTACTTAGTAAATCATGTTTTGAGTTGGATTTTGTCTCATTCACTTATATACAAGAATGACTTTTCAATGAACTGAAGAGAATAATATAAGTTATCTATATGAATTAATGAATTAAGTATAAATGTGACAACTAGTCTAAGTAATTCAATATTAGATTAACTATATTTTGATGTACAATATCTGGGATGGTTTCTTTTAAACTACCACTAATCACTTTACATCAAAAATATAATTTATATTACAACAATCATTTGCCGACTTAAGTAATAACAATTAATTAATTAATGGATTTGAAATAAATTACTGAATATCACTTAGAATTCAATGGTAACTCAGGAAGAATCCCTTGAGTATTATCAAGATTAGACTGATATAATGTAAGTTAAAATTACGTCCACAAAGCACCAGTAAAAATGATGAACTAGACTTATTTAACTTGTTCTATGAAGATTGTTCAGTGGAATTTAGCCCACATAATTGATTGACATCATTCGGTAGGAAACTGATATTCAGGAAACACTGGACAAATTTTTCATCTTAGTTTGGGACTCCAAGTCGGTGTGTACGCATAATCCTGGCAACGAATCGAATTCTTTCAAATTTCACGACCGGCATAAAAACCGTAAACTAGTAAGTAAAAATTCATTGGCACACATTTTCATCATCAGTAACTTCACACCAAACCAAGATCATGGTTACATAGTTTATGTGATATATATCTCACTATCAATCATGACTTATCAAATGAACATCTGGATTACATCTTTTAACTATTTATAGGCGTGTACATAATTATTACAAAGATATGCTTTATGGATACTTGTTTAATCTGTAGCTTTTATCTCATAAAATTATAATTCCCAACTTTTGATCGGGATATAAGCTGTATTTAATTTTCGAAATATATTTATGCTAAGTTACACACTTATTCTGGTCTTTCTTTTCTCACAATGTTAAGTTTCAGAAGTCAATACATCCACCACCGTACACTATGACTGTGCGTAATTTCCTTTATATTCTCAAGGTAATTTATTATTACTTTCAGTAACTCAGACAAGAATAATCCTTATTATTTATTTATCGATAACTATAACACATCAAAATGTTATAAATTCCCTATTATTTAGTATCAGAAGGGGGTTTTGTGAAGATTGTAGTAATTTCAATAGTTGAGATTATGAGCCAATCGAAGCTAGACCACCATGGAAATCCTGGAAGCACTGGACGTCCGTTTCGTTCTATTGTGAGATACCTCAGCAGTAGGCATTCACGACTCCGCCTCGTGGGATTCGAACTAAGGACCTATCAATCTCTATTAATTATTATCTAATCATTTACACAGTTGATTACAATAAAAAAATATCGTATGTTATATGAATAACTTTTATATGACCTTCAAGGTTATTCATTTGAAGTCATTAATAGTGTTAAAGTACTTCTTTATATCACACAACACACTGAAAGATGATGATCATAGTTTGATTGAAACATCTTTTTCCTATATAATCATATTAAATTATCACAAACTGAATAATTATAGCTCTTTTATAATGAAAGTATTTAATTCATGAACAAAGTCGTTCAATAAGAATATCATTCACTGTCATACAGAAAAAATTTTCTACTCAATAATTCAGCCTTCCAACTAGTCTCTTGTAGAACTGGATCAAGTATGTTTATTCAGTTGTATTACAAAACAATCAAAGTTATTTATACGAATATTCGTTAAGATTAGAACGAATAGTTTGACAGTAATTGAGCGCCGAGTATAGAGAAGTCATTATATGTGAAAATTATATTTGAAATATTCTCAGCGATTGAAATTTAACTAATTCCAACGTTTCGTCCAGCTAACTTGTCTGGACTTTTTTTTTGATTATTACCCTGAAGAAGTCCAGACAAGTTAGCTGGACGAAACGTTGGAATTAGTTAAATTTCAATCGCTGAGAATATTTCAAATATAATTTTCACATACAATCAAAGTTATGTTGTTTATTTCTTAACCTCTATAGTATTCTATTTGATTATGAAAGTATATCACTTGATAACTTATTAAATAAGAAAATTAATGGATAAATATTGGAAGTGATCACTAGGAGTCTTTTGTCAATACTAAATCATTAACTAACATAAAACTGGTTATTCTTTACTGGAAAATTGAAATAGATAACAAATCTTTTTCTTCTTAAAATAATAGACTTTTATATTTCTATATTCCTAATGTTTTATAATTACTATTTTCTAGGATTTCAATTTGTTAAATCGAAAGCTTACAGTTAAAGATGTTCTTGAAGCAGTGTGTAAATGTAATCCAGTAGTCGGAACAATAGAAGAATATAATTCTGATGCAGAGGTAAGTTAAATTTACGTCATAAATAAATTCATCAAAAGTCAGTCAGTCAGTAACAACGTAGAACTTCGTACGTACGTACATCAGTTCGAGTTGCCACACCACATTAGCACAGAGATGCAGTTGTCGATTCAAATCCCGTAGTGGTAGAGGTAATAAGAGTATAAGCAGTAATCGGGAAGATTAGGGTTTGGAGATGTTATTCAAGGAGTATAATCCAGTGAAATAAATTTGGAAAGAGGAAAAAAGGGACATGAAGAATTCAGAAGATTAGAATTTGGGAGAACACAAAAAGTGGATGCACCTGCACCATTGCAAACAATTTTTAGCCCTGTCATTCAGGGTCTCTAACCATCGGTTGCTATCATCTCGCCGTCCCCAACCAGGTAGTCTGCACCTACCAACATCACTCAGTCCACTTGTCAGTGACTTCATGGACTTGTGCCATGTTTTGGTTTGGCCGCCCCTAGCTTTCTTCCAACCTACTCCTATACCACTGAACATAGCACGTCGAGGCAGTCGGTCGTTGGACATACGTAACACGTGTCCCAGCCACCTCAACTGATGAAGTTTCACTACTTCATCAATTGATTTGCTATCCTTACCTAGTACCCGTTTCCTAACAACTGTGTTACTTACTCGATGGTCCCAGGATATACGAGCAATGTTTCGAAGACACCTATGATCAAATACTAGTAACCTACGAATATCCTCTACTCTTACCGGCCATGTTTCACTGCCATAAAGAAGGACGGAACGAACTGCTGCGCAGTAAAAACACCACCATTATACATACAACTACCAGTCACAAATTCTCGAGGTCGATTAGTTTTACCCAGCAGTCACAAGGCGCGTTCTTTCCTAGGATGCGACACCAAAGACGATCGATGAAAACAGCCGCCGCCCACCACCCTCATCCCCCACACACTGCTACCCAGCCGGATCAACACAACACTCTCAACCACAAAAAAATGTATATAAGAATAGAATTTGGTCAAAAGTACTCTTTCATAGACGAAATAACTTCCATTTAATTACACAATATAACTGAGAATTTTCATATGATATTCATCCACTAATTATGTTCAACATCGGTTGGATGACACTGTAAATTTACTGAAATAAACATTCACCAACACACAAAAATTCAACTAATCTGACCATACTTCAGTAGATGAACTTTGTTCTATGCTGCGATGAATAAACTATTCAATAACTTTGGAAATAAGATGTGTATATGTTTTAGTGTTGTTTGCCTACATTCCGAATTTGTGTAAAAGCTCCAATATAATCATATAACTAATGTACAAATAGGTTCAATAGAAAATTGAATGACTTCTAAAATATTTTCAAAATATCCCTGGCTATTAGGTTATTTTTTTATTAAACATCTTCTATAAACTTTAAAATCAATTGTTACAATACAGATGTGGTGTATGCTACTTACGTCGAAAAAAATAAGTAGTATGTAACACCAATCAAAAATGGAATACCTGGCAATAAGAGGTTGAGAAGATCAAATTAAAGAGAAAAGTAATATAAACAGAGACTAATTTTAATAACAACAGGAATGAGGGGACGATAACGTTTATGAGAGATAATTGATAAGGAAAATGTGCAAATGAAGTATTGAATGTATGATTTTCGTATTTTACGAAGATATTTTGTAATTGTCTATTGAACAAAGTCATTGTTCGTTACGCATTGATCGTAGATTGTTTTCATTAATTATAAAATATTGAGAAAAATGAACATCTAATCAATCTGTACATTTTAATCGAATAGGTTTCAGAAAATGGCACTATAGGCTAATTGACATAACATATTATTATAAGCAAATTGAAACTATCATTTGTATATAACAACAAAAGCTGGACGAATATAGTATGATTTATTCAATAACAAATAAGTAGTGAAATATAAGAATAAAAATAAAGCCTATAAAATAACTGATGAATCTTCACTGCTATCCTTTTTATCGAAAATCATTATTGAGTAAATAATAATCGATATACTTTGAGATGTATGTTATGCCATGTTTTTTGTTGATTATAAAATGTAAATATCTGAATAACTTTTAAGTGATTTGGTTTAAAAATTAAAAACCTACCATTTTAACAAATGAAAGTTGATTTCTGTTGAAGACGTTAGATCCCCAGAATTCACCTATAAAAGGTCCTAATTTTGTAATTTTATTCTGAAAATTTGAATTTATGTTTTCGCGCCAAGAGATGCTTAGTTGACCTACAGGTTAAATTTCACACTCGGAAATCCTTAACTGTCATTGGTTGACGAATTTTTTTAGTATGCTATTTTGTGGCTCTCCTAAGGGCGTTTCTTTCATTGTATAAATATGCTTGATTTGTGTGCTTAGTGACCTCATATTTTCTGGGTGCATGTAGAATACATTATCTACGCCTCATCAAGACTCCTTGATCTCGTAAGCAGGGCCGGGGACAACGGATTAGAATAGCCTATCATGTCTCTGTATCTTTGACCTTCGTTGCGTTTACTGAGTAAGGTGAACTCGTAATAGCATTCAAGCATATCAGTTTCTAATGTGACTACATATTGCCATTAACATCAGTCAATACAAATTTTATAAATATTTGTTTTAATTAGATAATCACGAATCTTAGCCATATGTACTTGTGTCTCTTTGTAAGACACTTATAACGCGTAGTGATATTAAATACTGGGAAAATCGAATAAAAGCACTGTAATATTTTCTGCGTATTTTCCTCCTCTGACAAACTTTGAAGAATTGAGGAGAGATTAGACTGGAAACCATATACACCATAATATGATGGATGAAGTAGGCAGTTGTTACAACTATACTATTGAAACTTTTAAAAAAAGATGAATAGCTGATAATAACAAATGGAATATATATATATATATATATATATATATATATATATATATATATATATATATATATATATAGAGAGAGAGAGAGAGAGAGAGAGAGAGAAAAGTATTAAGTAACAAGATCAAGAATGAACGCATGAATAGAAGGATATGTACCATTAAAATAAATGTTTTCACATAATACTGACCAATGCTCAGTGGGTTTCCCTGACTAGATAAAAGCTTTTGCAAGTTCTAACCGTGTTTCATTTCAAGAAAATAAAATGAATGCCATCTAGCTATCCACAATCAATAGTGGTTGTCTGATGATGAATCTCTTGAAATAAAAGTCTGTTGTTTTTACTTTTGTTTCAACGTTTATTTAAATATATTTTATATATCATTATAAAGGTTTTCTTTTTCATTGTTCCAGCTTACATTTTTTGACTTTTTCGAAGCTCTTATTCATTGTACGCTGATTTTAATGTTGGAAAAAGATGAACCACAGGTAGATTCTGTTGACAACAAAATAAAAACTATTAAGTCAGATTTAACTATTAAACGTAAGTTTTCACTTTCATGTTTTCTTTTATGGAATGAATACCAGTCCTTACCTAATTGTGTGTACATAGATGAGCATACTGAGAGGTAGTTCATTCTGTTTAATCTTATCGCTGTGAAACGTAGTTTTTAAAAACAGAAGACACTCGTGAGTTACTAATATACAACTATATATGTCTTCAATATATTACTCGCGTATGTTTGAACTATCAAGTGAACAATACTGAGGTTAGACGCAGAATTCTGAATAAAGAATGAAAATGGGTTGATGCGACAAAATCTACATAAACTAAGGTTTTTTGGGAATTTTTTTATTTATGGTCGATCAACACTTACCATCATGTTCGACATTTCCTGAATTATGGGTAAGTTGTAAGAAAGATAAGATTGGTCAAACCTAAGCATACTATTAATTCGTAGAATCATTGCCTATTGAATTTTGTCGTGTTGATAATTTCAGACTACTTGATTTTACTCCTTATCATTATCATAAACAATGGTTGTAGATTATGGGTGTAGTGGGTCAGTATCAATCTCAATACAATACGTGCATTCACTCTTTTTGGACTTCTTCTAGATCTTGGATTTTAAAATTATATGATACTTTTCTATTGTACAAATTAATTCCTTCTCGAATCAAATTGTATATAACCAATCTTTCTATTACTGTGAGATTTGTCTCGATAACCTTATATTGCTGTGCTGGTCTAGTGTGATATTGTGAACCAGTGTACAAAGGTGCCCGGTTCTAAGTTGTTTTTGACCGATAGGGTTAATGATACTAAAACATTTGCTCAACACTAGATATATAATTTAAGTAACACAAATCCTAAAATCATTCATTACTTTTGATGAACTAGTTTCATGGAAACATTGACAACAGAATAAACATGATGATTTCTTTATTTAGTTTAGTTCATTCTGTTTTATTCATCATACTGTACTATGAAATATTCCCATTCATTCATATCTCAGTAAATCGAAGATTATCACGTAGACCAAGTACATCAAGGCAATTAAAAAGTAATACTGGTAAAAAACAAAAAGAAAAGAAAAGCAAAACAAAACGAGGTGCAGAAAATCGAAAAATCAGTATATCACCAGAAGTAAGCTTATAATAATAATAATAATAATAATAACAATAATAATAATAATAATAATAATAATAATAATAATAATGGCAGTAATGGTAGTAATAATAATAATAGCAGTAATAATAATAGTGATAATAGTAATAGCAATAATAATAATAATCGTGGTAGTAGTAGTAGTAATAATAGTAATAATGGTAATAATAGCAGCCCTATTCAGTAAGATAAATTTGTCGGGGTGATCCACAGTATTCTTCAAAAATGCCTAGTGGTCATGAAAACGCTGGAAAACATTCTATCCAATCAACAGTGAACAGAAGTGTCCCAGAAACTTCTAGGAAATGAAGAGTGATGTGTCACGTTTGTGATTGACTGAAGACCTGTCCTGCCACCATGTTTAGTAGGGTTCAAGAACATTCCAGAAGCCCAAGGCCATCTGAAATGCTATAAATACCCTCGACTTTCTGTATATAGACCAACCTTGGAGTAAAGCGTTCTTTCCACATTTCGCGCCTTTTCACTCGTATTCACGTAGTCATGTAAATTAACATGGGGTTACTAGAGGACCTTAGGAAACCGATTCAAGCGTTCAGTTAAAAGCTGTATCAAAATTTTGTCACAGTAAAGAGATCTCAGCACTAATTACTGAATATTACAACAAACATACCTATACCATGAATTGAAATTGTAATTATTCGAAATATATCTTTTTTTCAACTGTCAGTATCCGACATCTGTATTTATTCATTAGACTTTTCTACTGGTACAACTATTATAACTAATTTTTCCCATTCATCATATATAAAGTGCTTGAAACGCAAAGTAGTTTTGTCTCTCGTTTTGTCAAATAGTCAATAAAATGGGTACCTCGCCAAGAACTGTTCTGTTTTTGTTCGAATTTTCCAGTATTCGATTTATTAATAATAATTTGTAACCCTGTTGTAATAATATGTGAGATTGTAGCGGCTGGTACTATGTCAAGCCCAAATAGGTTATTCTAGCTCCTGGACAGACCAAATTATTTATTATCCTCAAGCCACATTTTGACGTTGCTATTGTTTTGCTGATTAACCACGACTGTTTTAATAAGATGGTATGTGAGTTAATTGTTTGCTTCATTCATTGTGTGTCTGTAATTTATTTTTGTTTGACTATAAATATTAAGTCACACTTAATCAGAACGACCTGGCTCACCCTCCATCTACGCTGAGCGTCACTTTGTTTCTTTGATTGTCTGTCTGGATAAATGAGTATAAGAAGTATACATATCCAAAATCCATTCTTGTATTTGACTTATTTCATTTCGTTATTCTCTAACACGAACCAAGTCGATAAAAATATACGACAGTAGGCAGTATGTATTATTTCGATAACAATAACCATACGATTTAATTCGAGCCAGATACAAGGGTCACTAAAAGTTCATACAGTTAGTAATTATTATGATTCACTTCAAACGAATCTAATGCAGTTAAATTAATTGTAATATCTGCACAGTTAGAAAATACGTGACCCAAACTCTTGAGCAGGTTCCTCTGATTAAAATCTTTACTGAATCTTTTTTTTTCATCAACTTCATGATAATTTATCAATAGAAATAAAATTACATATGAATATATATCTAGTGACATTTATGTGAATGACTATTTCTCGAAAAATTGTGGTATATATAAGTATTCCATGATTTAGATTAAAGGCAAACTACAAATGTTATTGCGGTATTGCTAATAGTAATATTAAGAATTTGTACTTTCAGGTTATTGTTGCATTTGGTTAATCTATGTGACAGTAATAAGGGCTCTTCAGTAACATTTATAACTAAAATCATTTGAACTAATTTCTTTAAAGATAATACATATACGTGAATTTGTAGGACAAATATTAAAATGTATACAATACGTGGCAAATGGTTTCATCATTGTAGAACTAAGAAACAATCATTAGTCATATTAGAAAACTGATACCCATCCAGCTGTGAGAATATATCTGTTTATACTTGATTAGTTCATTAAAGTCAAAAGTACTAATCAATGGAATTCAAATCAATGTAATTTATTACCAATAGTTACAGGCATAATTTTGTACAATTTCATAGATGCTTACCAATAAAAAGTCCTACGATATGAACTATCAACATCCTGGCTTTCAATCTTTCTTAATTGATATCCTGCAATATATATGTTTACTTACTAACTTGTGTGTGAATATTTTGTACAACATGAAAGTAATTGAGCTTCAGAACAAGTAGAAACTAGGAAGTAATAAACTGTTTCATTTGTCGGCGTTTAGAACTACCCGATATTGTGAACGCACAAAACGGAATCCTTTTTTTTTCAGAACTAGGGGCGAGCATGATATCATAGATCTGTCATGTCGAAAAACAGTGATTCATTTGCCCAATTCCAATCAAGAGACCACCATTTAATATTGTAGGTGGATTATCACACTTCTCAACTAATTAGCTCTATAAGTTATGACTTAGCATTGGGACTTATTGAGATCCATCTTAAAGGATATGGTCATTAGTAACCGTAGTGATTGTATGACGGTTTTATAGAATATGAAACTCAAATATATTGAGACTGAAGTTAACCTCATTGATGACATAGGACGCTGGCAGCACTATATAACAAGTCAAGTAAGGTCAGAAAATATAAAGATTCGGATTCTGATTGAATCAATGAAAGCTTCATACTTACACACGATCATGAATTCGGTCACCTGTGGAATCATATTTGTTCCCGAAAAGTTAAAAAATAGAACGAAACAGCAATCTATTTCTCTCTTACTTTCCAGTTGATTAAACTTAATGATGAAAATGCTTTTATATTTATTACTTTTTAAATTCAGATAGATAAGTCTGAAAATCAAAAAGAAACACCAGATGGGTTGATTGATCAAGAAGAACAATTACTGCAACAAAATCCAGAATTAGATAAAACAAGCTCATCAATACAATGTGAAGTTGAAACGTGGGAGTCATGCATGAGAAACTTTCTGAATAAATTTCTACAATCAGTTGAGGAATTACAAATTCTGCATAACAGGGTTTATCAATTGAACTGATCAACAAAATACTTAGCTTTTTTAACAGTCGACTAGAAATGTATACATATATTAAAACTCAAACATTTGAATGTAGGTAAAAACAATTTCGACATAATAAAATCCATTATATTTTTTACGTAACCATTTTATTAATAAAAACAAGATCTTGGATTCAACTTAGAAATGTAAACTTACGTCAGTCAGTAGACCCTAGTCAGTTTGAAGCCCACATTTATTTTGAATAAGTAACTGTGTTGTTCAAAATCGCCCCTAACAATAAAAGACTTTAATTCCAGTCGCTTTTCATTTAAACATAGTCATTAAAGTAACCGTCAATGATACAATATAGGATTTAAAAAACTGTTCAACTAATAGTTCCACAGAGTCAGCACTTAAATGGCCTCTTTAAAATAACCTTGACCTATTCTCTTTCATCAGTAGTATCTTCGTGATATCAGTCATTCTCTGATTATTCGGTTTGAATTCAAATGAGCAACAATTAACCAATAGATCGAAGACAGAATCTAGAATTTTGGATAAATGGTAATAAGGTTAATTTTTATTTGCTAAAAATATCCAATGGAGCGCTAGTACCAAGAGGTATGCTCTCCAAAGTTACGTGATGTTATGAAAATAGCATAATGACAGTAATTAAGAGAAAATCAAGATATATGCATAAATGAACAAAGTCGATCAATGGAACTTATAACCAACCTTAGCCTAAGCAAATATCGAACCAAGGACTGCTGGATAATAGAACTGCTAATCTACACGATCTCGCTACTATCCATATTTCACTAACCAATTCAATTATCATCAATACAATGAGTTCACTTACTTATACTTTTAAAATGAGAAACCATTGCAATTCCCACGACGCGAAGAACACCAAGACTGGTACAAGTGGAGATTTATTAAACCCCAAAACACGACGACGACTCTAGTCGAAAATACACTTATATATAGATTGTACATCCATTTGACTATTAATTAGGATGAAATCACGTCATATCAAGTTCGATATTATATATAATGAGGTAGCCAATTAGAGTAACGCCTGACGAAGATCAAATTAAGGATCATATTTTAAACCACTAAACGATATTACCTAGATCACTGAAAACCTGAAAGCATTGTACAGTTGTTTCGTTCTAGTATGGGGCTCAGGAGTGTGCATCCATGACCCTGCCACTAGCAAACAACTTCAGAACCATCGGTTTCGCGCGTATACACTGAACCTCTAGATCACTGAGTTGGCATCCAATGGTGTACATGTCAACTTCAATCAATTCGCGATATTGTACGACCGTCTTCCATTACCTGCCGTGAATAACGATATTGTCCCTTTATACTGTTTAACTTAATTCTCCCTAGTCATCTAATAATATTGCGTTCGTTCGTCAACTTTTGTTGCATTGATGCACAGATCAAAAGTATTATTCCTATAAAAAAATCACATCCATTCTCTAACTAGTTAATTTGAAAAAACGAAGCACATTAAATTCAATTTTTGAAAATTATAAAGAATTTATTATGGAGGTTTATCTAAAAATATTAAAGGAATATGTACAAAGTGTATATCTAATCACAGTATTAGTTAGTATTCAGGAAATTTTGGTTTTAATAAAAATGGATTTTTTGTTTCAGGAGACTGATTAGAATTACTATTTACAAAAACGTTTGACTTAGACTTCACAAGATTTTGGTCATCTTTGTTGTCGGTCAGTGACATTTTCATATCACAGTCGTTGGTTACACTAGCAAGTAGAGCTGACAGATATGGACGAGGTGACTCTTTTGGAGTGATCACTGTACATGGTTGATTTTGATTTTATGCCATAAAATAGAAACGAAAAAATATATTATTTATTCTTAAGTTATATCATTATAAAAACACATAAACACGAACATTATATATATTAATATTGTAGATTACCCAAAAACGTAAATGTAGTTAGATAATGCGAATCCTTAAACCGAATTTTATGGTCCATTCCATCGTTGGTCAACTGTTGTTTACCTTCAAAGATTGCATTACTTACATTTATTTTTCCATTACTACTATTGCATAAGAAATCGGTGTTTGGAATTAATTTTAATGAATCATTTGACTGCATATAATGTTACAACCAGATTATGTGTTTCATGTGACAAATCATACAAATCAGAATTGTAATCAATTAGGTAATGAACAGCTTCTTGTACCCCACACCATATTTAATTATGAAATACTTCTTTGTTTAATCCACACTTTGGATTTATCAATTTATTGCTGACAGACTGTTTGCTGCATGTTCTTTTGCAATAATTTTGGAGGCGCATGAATAGTTTTAGTGGATTATTATCTGTTTTAGAAATCCTAATTAATAAAATAGATTTTCAAAAGTTGGACGACTATGTAACTTCATATACTAGCAGATATATCTTAGAAATAAACTTAGCATATGTTGTGCTACCTTTTTTATTATACAAGCAACTTCTTGAGTGTGTTATTCTGTTAATTTTTTAATTACTATCAAATTTTCCTCTTTTCATAATTTCATATTTTGTGACATATCGCCTAATTATTTCGTTTTCATTGTTCTGTAAGTAAATATTTCGGTTGACAAACTACCATGGTTAGACTAATGATGATTTTTTCCAAATGATGGAGTTTATTTGTATCTCAGGGTGAGAATGTTGGAGATGTTGTGTTCTCTGAGTTGGATGGCTTGGTTGCAAAACTTCTACTGTCCTCGTAGACAATATCATTAGCACGCACTTCAAAGAAAAATAGGCTAAACTAACTAGTATCCGGTAGCAAATATGATTTAAAATGTTGCTGAAATACTCCAAAGTGAAATATTATTTCGTTTCAGCTTTTATGTGAATTATGACTGAAAAGTAATACTGTTTTGTTTGTTTACATCCCAATGGTAACAATTGTTAATGCTTTCAAAAAACTTGTCATCGTAAGAAACGTAACTAGAAAAAAAATTGGTTGAAAGAGAAATAGCATACACATGAACGATTCAGCATCACCCGGAAATAGGTATTGAACAGGCTGAACACGACCCAAAAACCGAATTAAGGACTCTTGAACTTTACGACGTTGCTCAACTACACGACGGCGTAATGAAGACGGATCAGAAGCAATCGGTGCTCGTTTAACACGTGTATTTAGGAAAGTGTGAGGTTCCGGTAATAAAGGAAGTTGTAAATGTGCAGGAGCGGGAGGTGGCAAACAGTATGACAGCTGATCTGAAATACCTTGAGCTACACCCGTACTTAACAAGGATGTGGATCCCATCCCACCAAAACGTGGATTTCCCGACCAATTAGGGCGCAATGACAAGGGTCGAGGAATAATGGTTGTTCCTCCTGGGCCCAAAACTGCAGCACATACCACACCTTTCTTCGGAGAACTTCCGATGCTAGTAGCTGAACGATATAAAAGAACAGCCATCAATAAAAATCGTTGAAAATCAAAATATTTATGTAAGTAATTATTAAAATCAACGTGCATTAGCGATTAGGAATTTTCTATTCTGAAGAAAAACAAGTCAAACTTGGATAACAGAAACAACAGGCATTTTACAAATAATCTTTAATCCAGCAGTGATAAAAGCACTTCAATCAATTAACATAAAGTACCTTTAGCCTTTTTCAGTTCGAAATATAGGCAGCAAAATTCATATAAGATATGAAAAAGGGCATCAAACATCAAGACTTAACGATTTTAATTAAGCTTAAGAGAGATGTGACGCATTATAAGTCAGAAAGTTATATCCACATTTGTAGCTATAAACTTCTGCACTATGAATTTCACCAGAAAAGAACGTTTTTATGGTAAGTATCAATCTGCAGTTTATAATGGATGACTGAAAATTATAATACCAATTCAATAGGGAAGATAAATATTTCTTCAACCATTGATTAAACTAACTAAACGAATATCACAGACATTAACACCAGATAGATCTACAAATAAAATAAAATAAATTTCGATCAGGACTTTTAAAATATGAACTGACGCTGCTTAATTTTGACGAACTATTACTGAACAACTGTTTAATATACACAAATGAGTCGGGTCTTCTTATGTTCGATAAACTTGAATACTACTACTGATTCGTCTTACTCGGAACAGAACGAAGAATCAAGGATTCAGATACTCGATAGCCTATACTGGTCAATTGTCCCCGACTCAGCTAACTCGATCCAGAAGTCTTGGTAAGATGTAGAAAGTGTATTCTACAGACAACCAGAAGACACCAGGTCCATCAAGCACACAAATCAAGCGTATTTATACAAAATATATATAATCGATATTGCCATGGAAGTTTTTAAACATTTAATCGATAAGTTCGTCAATCGACTATGTGCGTGGGTGGTAAGAAATGTCCAAGCATACATCTGCATACAAGCTCCACAAGATAAAGTTACAAAATATGAGTTTTGTGGATTTATCGTCCCCAACACTCCTCCCCTTTATAATAGCGTGCGTTCCTGGGGTCGACCTGCATCTTGACTGTTGCTCGCCGCTGTCGGAGAGGCCACCGTCTGGAGCGCGTTTCCGATTGTTGTTTAGGTTTTCTTGTGGTGGAGCTGTCGGTAAGTTGAATGTGTCTATCAGGATCTCAATGGGAATATTTGCTTCGGTTGATGGGCGGTCTGGGGCTAGCCATTTGCGTAACTGGCTCCGATGGCGTTGCCACCTGTCGCTGCCTACCTCGACTTCGTACATGACTCGGCCAACTCTTCTGATCACTCGCGCTTCCGTCCATGGACCATGGGTTGGTCTGTAGTCACGGGCAAACACAGGACATCTCACTCCGTTCTGATGTCGGTGCAATACTTGGATGCATCAGGCTGTGTATCGTCTTCAGTCTTCTTCCCATGAGGATCTCTGCTGGTGACTTTCGCTCCGGCAACGTCTCATTTGGTGTTGTTCTGTATACATATAAGAAATTTTGCGACGCGTCTGCTGGCGTCCCCTCCCCTTTTAACTTAGCCAAAGCTCTTTGAAACGTATCCACAAACCTTTCTGCTTGCCCATTCGACTGCGGGTGGTATGTTGGCGACCGAAAGTGCTTTATGACTAGCCGTTGACAGAATGACTGGAATTGGCTGGAGGTGAACTGTGAACCGTTGTCAGATATAATGGCATCCGGTATACCATTTCGGGAGGAAATTTCTGTGAGGATTTGTATTGTTTTAGTCGTCGTTGGCGGTATTATAGGGTTCATTTCTGGCCATTTCGAAGGGGCGTCGACTAAAACTAGATACATGGTTCCGTTAATCGGGCCTGCAAAGTCGACGTGTATCCTGGACCAAGGATGATCAGGTAATGGCCATGAAACTGGTGGAACTTTGGCGTTCACCTTTGCCGCTTGCTGACACCGCATACATTTTCCAACCAATTCTGTTATATGTTGATCCATTAGCGGCCAATATGCATGACTCCTGGCTATGGATTTCATTCGTCTAACCCCCGGATGACCAAGGTGGAACTGTTTTAGCACTTTTGCACGAAGGGATTTTGGCACAACCACTCTTTCTCCGAACATCAAGCAGTCGTTTACAACACATAGCGAACCCCGCCGCTGATACAGCTGCTTCATGTCACCATCAAACTTCTTAGACGGCCAACCGTTGGTGACATAGCTCATAGTCATCTTGATGATGGGGTCGCTCTTAGAAGCATTTTGTACGTCTGTTGCGGATACCGGCAAAGCTCGTATTGCGGTCGTCATATAACATTCGGCGTGATCTTCCGCTAGCAGAGAAGCGATTACCGTGTTTTCCTCAGTCGTCAACTGGTCACTAATGAGTCGTGATATGGCATCCACCTGCCCGAATTGTTAAGTGCGTCGGTACTGGATCTCGAAATCATACCCCAAGAGTGCTAAGGCCCATCTTTGAAGACGATTTGCAGAATGAGCTGGAATACCAGATTCCGACCCGAATATTGTGAGTAAAGCCTTGTGACCTGTGAGAAGCGTGAATCTCCGACCGTACAGGAACTTGTGGAAACGGCGCACAGCAGACACAAGCGGAAGAGATTCTTCTTCTATCTATCTGTATTTTTTCTGCTGAGGTTAGAGTGCGGGATGCATGCATAACGGCTTTTCCCGACGCATTCGGAAACCGATGTGAGATAACAGCACCCAGGCCATACGCTGAAGCGTCTGCCGCTACAATGATCAGCATGGTTGGATCGTGGTGTGTCAACAGCAGTTCTGAAGTAATAATAGACTACAGTTTACAAAATGCAGCGTCACACTGTTTAGTCCAGTTGCAAGAACTGTTCTTCTGCAGTAAGCTATTCAGTGGAGCGCGAATATCATGCGTCGGTGGAACGAACGCTGAGTCATAGCTTACAAGTCCCAGGAAGGAACGTAGTGCCGAGGCATGAATGGGAGTAGGCATCAGTTTGATGGATATTCTCAGGACCCGGTCTGCGGACGTCGGCATCGAAAGCGAACCTCGAGTACTTTACCAACTGCAAATAAAACTGGCATTTCTCTGAGCGTAACCGGAATCCGTTGTCACTGATACGTTGCAATACCAATGTCGTCCGTTCTCGTAGCTGTTCTAATGTCGTCGCTACAATTAAAATGTCATCCAGATAAGCCGCGACACCCGAGATACCTGATACGATGGTATCCATTAATTGCTGGGAAGTAGATGGGGTAGTTTTGACCCCGAAAGGTAGATGGTTATACTGGAAAAAACCACGATGGGTATTGATAGTTAGCAGCTCTCTTGATGCTTCATCTACTTCCACTTGCAAATAAGCACCAGCTAGATCCAGTTTAGCGAAAAACCTTCCTCCATTCAGCATGGTAAATAGGTCTGCGGGAACAGGCATGGGATCATGATGTTGTTCCAGAGCTGCATTGAGACCTGTTGAAAAGTCAGCACATATACGTAACGTGCCGTTGGCCTTCTTGATAACAACTATAGGTGCTGTCCATGCAGAGTAGGAGCGGGAGTAATAACTCCTTATTGTTGAAGGCGATTCAATTCTTCATCTACTGTTTGTAATGTTGCATAAGGCACAGGTCTCTTTGGATGAAAAGCAGGCTTAGCCCCAGTTTTCAATCGATGTGTTGCTTTAATGGCAGAGCACCGACCCAATCCAGGTTGGGAAATAGTTGAAAACTGCGTCATTCAGTTCCTCGTATATGCTTCCACGTCATGTGGTTGTTGTCGTAGTTGGGGTTGTGATACCAGGTTGCATATGGTATTCAACGGAACATCAGCTAAATTTTACTGATCGAACCAGTCTAAACCGAGTAAGTTGAGATCAGTTGGCGTTATGTAACATACCCCAACAAACGCCGTATCACGGAAAGTAACTGTACCTTCCATTTGTCCTAGCAGGTGAAGGTAATTACCACACGCAGTACGAGGCTTTCACATTGTACGCTGCAAGTTTGGGCATGTCTGGATCATCGTGTGTTAACAGCGATTCCGAACTAATAATGGAATTCAGTTTACAAAATGCAGCGTCACACTGTTTAGTCCAGCTCCAAGAACTGTTCTTCTGCAGTAAGCTATTCAGTGGAGCGCGAATATCATGCGTCGATGGAACGAACGCTGGGCGTCGTCAACCGTGAATGCGAACGCTTCCGGCTAAAGTCCTTGACTGAAGATCAGTTTAAAGCCCTGATCCTCATTTGCAGCCTGCAGCACCAAAAGTTCAGTGACTTACGAACAAGGCTACTGAGTCGGTTGGATCAAGAGCCGAAAATCAGCCTGAGTGATATAGCTAATGAATATCAACGTCTCAATAATCTGCAACGAGACACTTCTATGGTCCAGAGTGGTGGGTCTAGCCGATCTGAAGTACGAGCGGTGCAACAGACACCTTACAAAAACAAATAGGTCCCTGCCACATCAAGTTCATCCCACTCCAGCTCGGGACGACAGACTAAAGCAAGTTCCCCTACTCCTTGCTGGCAATGTGGTGCATGGCACTACGTTCGAAACTGCCCATTTAAGCAACATAGATGCAAGAAGTGTAAGGTTATCGGTCATAAGGATGTGTTTTGTCTGAGGAAGAAGAATTCAAGTCAATCCAGAAATACCAAAAAGACCCTTCCTACATCCCGCACCAATTCATTGAGCTTAGTATCTTCGTGTCAAAGCTCATCACCAGGTGAGAGAAAATTTATTACTATGAATATTAATGGGCATTCATCTCGATTGCAGATAGATACTGCTGCAGATGTCACTATCCTCTCACGTAAGATTTGAACCAAAATGGGCAGCCCAAACTTGCAGCGTACAATGTGAAAGCCTCGTACTGCGTGTGGTAATTACCTTCACCTGCTAGGACAAATGGAAGGTACAGTTACTTTCCGTGATACGGCGTTTGTTGGGGTATGTTACATAACGCCAACTGATCTCAACTTACTCGGTTTAGACTGGTT